TCATTACTTTCAATGAGTTTGGATCGGGCAATTGGGCTAAGCATCTATTTGACAATCATTATTTGAGGAAAAATAAGTTTTGATTAGTGATTTTTAAAAGAATGTATAGTTAAACAGTAGAGAATTTTTTTTTATTGTTTGAATGTATTGTTGAAAATGAGTATGTTAAAAAAATAATTTGAAAATAAAAAAAAAAGTTATTTAATTCCACTGGGGTCATAACCCCCTAACAATATTGTGTTAGGTAATAAGTTAAAAGAATGATGGAATTAAAAAATCATTTTATTGCACTGATCATTTAATATCATATTAGTACCACATAAATTAATACTATAATTTGGATGAGATTAAGCCCCCGTTTAGCCCCTATTATTTGTCATTTTAATTTTTGAAATAATATTTTTTTTTGAAGGGTTAAAAAGGAAGAAATTCTTTTGAATTTACGTATAATATTAATTTATTAGAGAATGTATGATTGATAAAAAGAGAAAAAATAAATAAATTATTATTCTAATGAGACCAAACAAAGATTAAACTCCTGTTTGGTGCACATTTTTCCAAAAATGAGAATAAAAAATTCTATCGTTATACAATGAACCTGGCCTACTTTGACAGTCATGTTTGACTGTGTTGTCTGAATGAGTTAAAAAAATTGTGAAAATACCATGTTGCCCCTCACTTGTTCTATGCCAATTTTTTTTTAAAAAAAGGACAATTATAACATTTCAAATGCCAAAAGACGGCCGACTTGTGTTTTCAAATATTGCGGCTACGTCTCCGAAATATTTGCTGTTGCAACGGTAACATGTTTTATTAAAATGAGGAATTAATCAGAGTGTAAACAACGTCACTCGATTGTCAAACGGGCTAATTAACATCTCGAAAGTCCCCAAAGTTAGTGGAAAACTCATTTCTGGCGCGAAACCAAAATCTCTCGGATTTCTTGTTCATCTTCTGGATAAACAAAAAAGGAAATTGAAAAAATGCAATCAAAGATCAGTTCGTTCTTCAGACCCAATTATTCTACACAAAAAGAAGCATCATATCTTGTTGGATAAAATAACAGTAAAGTGCAGAAAAACTTATCAAAAGATCGAGTCTCGTGACAGCACGATGTCCTAAAGCGAAATTGCCCGTCGATAACTGCTGCGACCTCTGTGGACAATCACCTCCAGGATACAACGATCAAATAAACCAATTGTGCAGCAAT